TATGGGGGGGGGGAAGCCATTGTAATCCATAAGCTGTACTTTGGAAATTCATATTCATTAAATAAAAGTTAAAAAAATAAGCAATCTAGTTAAGAAATGGACAGGCCGGCGCCGTGGCTCACTAGGCTAATCCTCTGCCTTGCGGCGCCGGCACACCGGGTTCTAGGCCCGGTTGGAGCACCGGATTCTGTCCCGGTTACCCCCCTTCCAGGCCAGCTCTCTGCTGTGGCCCGGGAGTGCAGTGGAGGATGGCCCAAGTACTTGGGCCCTGCACCCCATGGGAGACCAGGATAAGCACCTGGCTCCTGCCATCGGATCAGCGCGGTGTGCCGGCTGCAGCGCGCTGGCCGCAGCGGCCATTAGAGGGTGAACCAACGGCAAAAGGAAGACCTTTCTCTCTGTCTCTCTCTCTCTCACTGTCCACTCTGCCTGTAAAAAAAAAAAAAGAAATGGACAAAGGATTTGAACAGGTATGTTTCAAAGAGAAAATTCAAATGGCCAACAGACACATGAAAAAGTGCTCAGGGTCACTAGCTGTCAGGGAAATGCAAATCAAAATCACAGTGAAGTTTCACCTCACCCTAGTTAGAATGGCTCTCATACTGAAATCAACAAACAACAAATGCTAGCAAGGATGGGGGTAAAAGGTATCCTAATCTACCCTAAATCTACTGTTGTTGGGAATGTAAACTAGTACAGCATTGTGGAAGATAGTATAGAGATACCTCAGAAAGCTGAAAATAGGTCTACCATATGACCCAGCAACCCCACTCCTGGGAATTTACACAATGGAAATGAAATCAGTATATGAAACAGGGATCTGTACCCCCCCCCCCGTTTATTGCAGCTCAATTCACAGTAGCTAAGATATGGAATCAACCCAGATATCCATCAATTAAAGATTGAATAAGGAAATTGTGGTTGTGTGTGTGTGCATATATATATATATATATATATAGTATGGAATTCTATACAGTTGTCAAAAACAATGAAATCCTGTCATTTGCAACAAAATCTATGCAAATGGAAACCATTAATTTAGTGAAATAAGCCCAAATAGACAAACAGCATATGTTTTCCTTAATCTGTGGTAACTAATAGTGTATCAAAAAATGTAATGTATAGAGTGAAACTGACATTTTGAGATTTGATTATTGTTTATAGACCTCGTCTCTACTGTTGAGGAACTATGTTTTTTTCTTCTTATTATTTCTTGAGCTCTTTACTTGTGTAGGGTTAATCTTACGAGTATAAAGTAAACTGAAAACAGACCATTGTACAAATTAAGAGAGCAGGGGCCAGTGCTGTGGCACAGCAGGTTAACGCCCTGGCCTGAAGCGTCAGCATCCCATATGGGTGCCGGTTCGAGTCCTGGCTGCTCCACTTCCAGTCCAGCTCTCTGCTATGGCCTGGGAAAGCAGTAGAAGATGGCCCAAGTGCTTGGGCCCCTGCACCCATGTGGGAGACCCAGAAGAAGCTCCTGGCTCCTGGCTTCGGCACAGCTCCAGCCGTTGTGGCCATTTGGGGAGTGAACCATCAGATGGAAGACCTCTCTCTCTACCTCTCTCTCTCTCTCTCTCTCTCTCTCTCTCTCTGCCTTTCCTCTCTCTGTGTAACTCTGACTTTCAAATAAATAAATAAGTCTTTAAAAAAATTAAAAGAGCAAATAAGAGAGGAAGGAGGAGGAAGGATGGGAGCATGCATGGAAGGGAGGGTAGGGTGGGAAGTATCACTATGTTTTTAAATCTGTATATATGAAATACATAAAATTTGTTCACCTTAAAAATTTTTAAAATAGATAATTTTTAAAAATAAATAAAGCCACTATATCTTAGGAACAGCAACAACAACAAAAAGAAGCCCTGAGCCATAAAATTACCCTGTCTCTTTAGATGGAATGAAACAAATATTTATATATTTTTTCAGTTTAATTTTACCTTAATGAAGAAATGGATAGGAAAACTGAAGGACTAGATTGAATTTCTTGTCATTTGCAAATAGGAATGCCCAAGAATGAAAAGGGAGTTCTCTGAGTTTGAAAGGGATTAACAGTAAATAGCTACTTGATATGAGGCATTTCTTTTTTATCAATAGGCTACGACAGCTACCAAATCTTTACACAGGTGAAGCCAAGCTAAGACAAAACAGAAAGGATCATGACTCCCAAATGGATTTGCTCAAGCTTCTATTCTTATCCTGAGCTCCAGATGCAATTTTCCAATTGCCTACTACATAGATTTATCTGGATGTCTGAAAGGCACTTCAGTCTGCATATCCAAAGCCAAATTCATTGCCTCTCCACTACATTCCTTATCATGGTCTATGGCTTCACCATTCACTTAATCACTCAAGCCAGTAATCTCTGCATCATCTTCCATGCTTCCCTCTCATCCTTTATACCTAATTAAATACCAAATATTTCTTCAAAACTCTTTCAAATAAAGAGCTTTAGCCCATGGTCTTATTGCTTTATTTGGCCTGTTGTGATTCTAGTTGTGTGTGTGAACTTACTGTTCTTTACCCATTGAGACATTTTGAAATGTATTTTCATAAGGTAGAAAATAAAGATTAAAATCCTTTATAAAGCAATTTGTTCATATCTTGACTGAAGTGATTCAGTTAAAGCTTCATGGATGTTCTATCTAGAGAATATCAAATCTCATGATTAAAAGTAAAAATTTACTCAAATTTGGAGCTTGCTGCATGTCGCTCCCCCTCTTCGTGGAGGAACGACACTGAACCCTGCCTAGGCTTCAGATCCGAGTCACGGCTCCATTATGTTGCTCCCCCTCTTCGTGAAGGAGTGACACTGAACCCTGCCTAGGCTTCATATCCGAGTCACGGCACCATTATGTCACTCCCCGTCTTCGTGGAGGAACGACACAGGACCCTGCTCTGTTCTTTTGTCTGCTCGGCCCTCCCCGGGTTTGCTGCTGGTTCTTCCCGGGTTGGCTACCAACCCTTCCACCTCCATGGAAGGGCGGTTCCCCCTAGCCACTTTCCCCACTTCCGCGGGAGAGCGGCACACCGCCGGCCAGCTCTCTCGGGGGCTGCACAGGTGTTCCTTCAGATAGATGTTCCCCTTAGATGTTCCTGGTGCATGTTGTCTCTCTCCTCCTTTATAGTCCTCTTCCACCAATCCCAACTCTGCTACCCACACGCAGAGTATGCTGCCCTCCTCCAATCAGGAGCAGGTCCTGCTGTTTATTGGTTGAACTGGAGGCAGCTGTGTAGAAGCTGTTTCCTCCTCTCCCAGCGCCATATTGTGGGAAAGCAGATGCATAGAATAAGTCTTAATTCCAGTAACTTAGTCTAGTCCGAGTTGCTCCCCACAGCTGCAAGTGGATGACTGGCACTTATTAGACAATGACAAAAGAGTGGTTCATTTCTTACATTTCATACCAATGTGTGACTACTGTATAAACATAATCTGAAATTTACTCTGTTCTTTCTTAGAATGCAGACGGAAGTGTTGCTTTGGAATCTTTCATTTATATGAGGTTTACAGGTTTTTGACATTGTTAATTTGAAAGTTGAATACTTCTTTTCAGTTAATTATCTGCAGGCTCCCACTGCTTCTATTTTCAGAACTGATATAGAAGATAGAGCATAGGGGTTTTTTTGTTGTTATATGTTTGTTTAGGTACTGGATAATTTCGTAGTCAGAATCAGAAAAGTTGTTAGATAACTTGCCACCAAAGTTCATAGGAATTCATAAAGTACATTATAATTTAGTAAATATTACCTTTGTTTTTCCAGCTATTGTAAATATTCAATCAAGATTATATTTTAAAATACATATATTTAAAGCTTAGTATATTAAAACATTAGTTTAATCTATGAATTGAAACATACTTTAAATGAATTATAAGTGGTTTTTAAAATAAGAATGGAGGGTTGTTTATGATAATAATTCTAAGTTTCATATTTGTAATTCTATGGTATTGAAATGGCTACAAAGCAAGACTTGAATCCTGTTTGCAAAGTACACTGAATACTAAGAGTAAGCCTGAAATATCCAGTAAATAAGTCTGGGAAATAATTGGTAATTAGAGGGAGAATACAGCCTTTTATCAAAATTGTAGAACATTAAGTAATTAAAAGCAGGTCTTTGACATGTAAACATGGTTTTGTAATTTGGTTTGCATGAATGTTTGCAATTTAATGGGCTGGTTTTCTCCCACTGTTAGTTTCACAGTATACAACAAACTGGCATTAAATATAAATTTATAATGGAAATGACTGTATTTTTCATTTCTTGCTAGATAATAACTGAAAGGAAGGTGTTATGTTTTATTATTTGTTTCTACTCTAAAAGGAGAAAAATCATCAATTATACATGCCTTCTGTCTGTCACTGTAGTTTTATCTTTTATGTGGTATAAGTTACTTTATGAATATTGTCAAAAATAGGATGGTATCAGATGACACATCTAACTTAAACCCCTAAACATATTTCTGGCTTCATTTGACTTACTCTGGGAGTTCTCTAATATCCCACATGTCATCATGCTCTGCTCCTTCTGGAACCTCTTGTGGATTCCAGATTTCTTTGCTATTTTCATCACTGGTTTGCGGGATGACTGTGAAGAAAGGCAAGATAAAGCTGAGCCTGTTGCTTGTTTCACCCATCTAAATTGCTTCTTTTTTTCACACTCATTTTGGAATAATTGAAGTAAAACATTTTCTATTTGTAATCGCCAGCTCATTTTTTGGTCAAAACAAGCTAAATTAGTAACAACTGACTTTAAATATTTTATCAGTATAGAATCAATACATTGCAGAACTGTAATAATAATCAGAAAATTTGGAAAAAGCACATAAGCAAAAAGAAGAAAATAGGAGAATATACAATCCAATTGCCTGGAGATCATCAATGTTGGCAGTCTCTCTCTTTCTCTCTCTTTCTCTCTCTTTCTCCTCCCCTCTCTCCCCATGTATATGAAGTACTCCAAAAAGTTTATGGAAAATGGAATTTAAAAATCAGTTTATTGGGGCTGGCATTGTGGCATAAAGGGTAAAGCTGCTGCCTGCAAGACTGGCATTCCATATGGGTGCTGCTGATCCAGCTCTCTGCTATGGCCTGAGAAAGCAGTAGAAGATGGCCCAAGTGCTTGGGCCCCTGCACCCACGTGGGAGACCTGGATGAAGCTCCTGGCTTTGGCCTGATCCAGCCCTGGCCGCCACATGGAGAGTGAAACAGCAGATGGAAGATCTGTGTGTGTGTGTATGTTTGTGTGTGTATGTCTCCCTCTCTTTGTAACTCTAACTTTCAAATACATAAATAAATCTTTTTTTTAAGATTTATTTACTTATTTATTTCAAAGGCAGAGTTACAGACAGAGAGAGGTCTTCCATCCGCCAGTTCACTCCCCAAATGGCTCCAATGTCCAGAGCTGGGCCCGACCGAAGCCAGGAACCAGGAGATTCTTCCAGGTGTCCCACATGGGTGTAGGGGCCCAAGCACTTGGGCCATTTTCGACTGCTTTCCCAGGCCATCAGCAGGGAGCTGGATCAGAAGTGAAGCAGTCAGGACTCTAACTGGTGCCCATATGGGATGCAAGTTCTGCAGGAGGAAGCTTAACCTACTATGCCACAGTGCCAGCTCTATAAATAAATCTTTAAAATGAGCTTATTTTGGAACAAAATTTGTATTTCCCATGAACATCTTGAAAACCCTGTATATATCATACAATTCTCTAGATAGTCATATACATGGATTTTTTAAAAATTGCACCAAAATAAATTGATCTCTTTAAAAAACAATTTATGTATTTATTTGAAAGGCAGAATGTGTGTGTGTGTGAGAGAGAGAGAGAAAGAGATGAGAGATAGATGCTCCATCCACTGGTTCATTCCCCAAATGGACACAAAAGCCAGGGCTAGCCATGCTGAGTTCAGGAGCCAGGAGCTTCTTACAAGTCTCTTACATGGGTGGTAGGGGCCCACCTTCTTGGACCATCTTCTGCTGCTTTTCCCAGGCCATTAGCAGGGAGCTGGATCATAAGTGGAACAGCCAGGACATGCAAACAGGTGCATATACGGGATGCCGGTGTCACAGGCATTTACCCACTAGCACACAACACCACTTCTAAATTGATTTTTAATTTCATTTTTCCACAAGCATTTTCAAATACTATATCTTTGTCTGTGTCTGTGACACCGAGTGAGCCTGGCTGATCCACTTCCAATCCAGCCCCCCACACATGAACCTGGAAAACCAGTGGAGGATGGCCCAAGTCCTTGGGCCCCTAAACCTATGTGGGAAACCTGGATGAAGCTCCTGGCTCCTGGCTTTAGCCTGGCCAAGTCCTTGATGTTATGGCTATTTGGGGAGGGAACCAGCAGATAGAAGAACTCTGCCTTACAAATAAATAAAATAAATATTTTAAAAAGTTTGAAAAAATGAAAAATTATTTATTTTACTACATTGGGCCCATGATTTTATAAGATATCATATTGACTTTAATTTATTTATAAGCATTTTAATGCAAGATAAAATCGTGTAGTTATTTGCTTTCTCCAAAAGTCTGTTAGCTCAGTTAGTCCAAGAATTCTCTCTTGTCTTTTCTATCATAGTTTTAGAAATGATCCTACGGCTTGGTACCTAATAGACTCTCAATAAATAAGTATGCAAAGAATTACTGATGAATTTTGTGAAGTTGCCAGAATATGGGAGGGTAGAAGGTAAAGAAATTAGGTATCTTGGTAATGAAATCCTAGAAAATCAGAAGGTATCTAGTCACACATGACTTTCTTAGTTATCATGATTATTTTAGTTTTTTCTCTTTTACAATTATTTATAAATAAACACTAAACACATTTATTAAATATATTAAACAAAAATTAAACACATTGTGTAAAACATCATGTTTTTAAGTATGTACATATTATGGAGTGGTTAAATCAAGCTAATTAACAAATGTACTACTTCACATATCATTCATTTGGGGTGAGAACACTTAAAGTCTCCTCTCAGAAATTTTCAAGGATATGAGTAAAATGCATTGCTATTTAGCTCATCTTAATAAGTACTAGTGTTAGTTAGCATCACTCACTCTATAATTTTGCTACCAACAAAAATTATATTGATCTATACTGCTTTGTTACATAACTTACTTCTGAGCTCTTCTTCTTGTGGTGGTCCAATATTCCCTGGGCCCATGGCTCCAACAGTAAATGGAAAATTTGACTGGAGGAGAAGAGAAAAAGTCCAACATTTCGTAATTACTACTTGTGTAACCTGTATGATGAAATAAATCTGATAAGCTGTCCATCTAAACATGCAAAGAGCTTTATAGTTTAATTACCCATTATTGTTATACAACAGAGAGACAGATGCCAACTATTATTTTGAATGTGCTTTCCTTGTCCTTTGAAAGAGTATTACAATTAATAGACTCTAAGGAAGAATTGATCTTTGGTCAGACTAAATCTCCAGTTCCAGCTCAGTGAATCATATATCCCTGGGGATATGGGAATGAGCCATATTCATTTCTATGAAGGTTAGAACCAAGTGTTAGTATAAAAGCATCAACACTTTTGGGTTTCAGCAGTGGCTGATCATTGTTAGATGGGAAAGAGAAATATGGAAAAGTTTTATGAAATAAAAATTTTAACCACTAAATAGAGTAATCCATTCAAACTGATCCATTCAAAAGTCTTGTAACTGATTTTACTTCTTTGTTCTATGGTTATGAAACACTTCTCCATGCCACCACTTTATGACACTGAACTAATGGATTTAAATAGCAACTCCAAATTAATAGTGTCAAATACATGCTGAACCACATGTGAGTGTTTTGTTGTTGTTGTTGCCATCTTCTGCACAAGCATGTGTACCTTCACACAACTGTCCATGACTCCCAGTACAAGAACACTCTTCATTTTGTCAACTACTACACAATACATACTATACCATCAGTATAGCAGCAACTATTTCCTTGGCCTCTTTCAGGGATTCTCCAAAATCTCATTTTCTTAATAAATGTTCTAGCCAGTGTCAGACAGTGTAGCTCCAAATCATTCAACTATTGTCATTAAAAAAATTATTTTCTTGGATCCTAGCAAAGTAACCTCTCTAGCTCTCCTTTCATAGAGCCCTGCCCTCACTTCCTAAGACTTCACACATGCACAGAAATTAGTATGTTGGGGCCAGCGCCAGCATCCCGCCTGCGGCGCCAGCATCCCATATGGGCGCAGGTTCTAGTCCCGGCTGCTCCATTTCCAGTCCAGCTCTTTGCTATGGCCTGGGAAAGCAGTAAAAGATGGCCCAAGTCCTTGGGCCCCTGCACCCACGTGGGAGACCAGGAAGAAGCGCCTGGCTCCTGGCTTCAGATCGGCGCAGCTCCAGCTGTTGCGGCCATTTGGGGAGTGAACCAACAGAAGGAAGACCTTTCTTTCTGTCTCTCCCTCTCACTGTCTGTAACTCTAACTCTCAAATAAAATAAATAAATAAATAAATAAAAAAGAAGTTAGTATGTTCTTTCTGGTCAAGAAGAGTGGTGTCTGTCCTTGAAAGCTGATAGAAAAGCTCGCCTCAGTCTTCATTGTGCTAAACAATTCCAACAGTTATAAATTACAAATTAATCTATAACATCTTAGCAGTGTCTGAGGCAGTAACTATCCCCCCGCCCCCCAAAAAATGTCAGAAGCGTTATGTCTGTGGTTAAGATGATACAGGCATTTTTATGTGAAAATCTCCAAACAGTATTCTGGACAGTTTTCTCTTTTTAATCACGAAGGTCATATAAACATGCAGTGCTTTTCTTAAATTATTAATCATCAGAATACTAATAGTCAATCAGAGTAAAACATTTCATGGAACATGAGAGTCTCTTGTTGAGTGCCTCCTTCCATAGAAAATTAAAATCAGTAGAAACAAAACCTTGAACGTTCCTGACAAAATCACCACACTCTCCACAGTGATGATTAGATCAGTTCAGTTTGTTAAAAAACGAATGATGAAAAATAAAGATTTTAAACTAAAAGATAGAATGAAATAACGCAAACATTAAGAAACATCTGGCAATTTTTTCTTACAAGATCATTATATGAGCCTCTACAACAAATTATAATTATCCCAGAAATTTATCATTGTAATTCATGCCACTTTACAATACATACACAGGCCTTAAGATCCCCTCATGAGTTTGGAAAACAACAGACATACTCTCTTCCCAGTCTCCTAGATTCTTAACTATTGTGTAGAAGAGAGATAGTGTAAATGAACCAATGCATATGCAACTGTTCTCTTGCTGTTTTCAGAGAGTGTATTTTCAAAAACACATCACTTTTGTAATCATTCCACAGTTCCCCAGATTAATACATGTTAAAAGATGAAAGGCAGTTTCTTTCCTGGAAAATTTAATAGTTCATTAGAAACATTAATTATTCTCCCACTGTTATGATACTATAATTCTATACCCTCTAATGATATCTGTACTGTGGTGTCTGAATGACCAATTATCTCAAAATTGCTTATAGTCTAGATATACAGAATCATACATTATTATAGTAATTTTCCTTTATAATTCAGAAAAATGATGTTACAATTTCTCTGTTCTCATAATCACCCATCTTCCTCCTGAAAACACCTCTAGATGCAAATGAACATCTCCGAGTAGAAACACCAAAGGGAACAGGCTTTGTAACCAGGGTAAACCTTTATCTTTGAATTTGTTCCATTTATAAGTTCTACCTCACTGTATTCAAGAACACTGCTTCTCAAATGCCCAATATATTTTTTCTAAATGGCATAACTCTACGTTTCCCAAGATGTAAGCTCCATAAAATTATCACTCTGCTATTTCAACCAAGGTAGCAAAAGCTAGCTTACCTTCCTGACTTCATTGATACATTGTTCCTAACTTTTTATCCTGTGGTTTATATGTTGAACCTGTGTATTTAATGCTCTTATTAACATCTTAATTTTTTGCTGGTTGGCCTCTAGTAGGACTTTTCCCTACTAAACATTTCTGGTTCCTGATCCTAACTCCAAGATGACTCAGTTCCCCTTTTCTACAAATTTTATTTTCATTTCCTGTCTCATGTCTTACTTAATTCTACCGTGTTCTACCTAAGCTCTTCCTGTGAGAGTGGAAGCTGTCAATCTAGTGTATATCCAAGCCATTGGTTTTGTGGCCCATTCAGAATATACTTGTTTTCCCACATTATGGCAAAAAAAGAACTTTGGGGGTGTAAATTGGTATGTATGTTCATTGAAAAGGGATTATTAATGGCAAACTGGTCATAATAATGAAATATGTTATTAAAATAATTTATGAAAATTGATATGTTTAAGTTCTGCCTTGAAGTTTGCCTTATTATAGGCAATCTAATAGCCAAGGTTCACTGATATTTTTGGAATAGGAGAATGGAAAGTAAGCGGTTACAGCAAAGTGTTTTGGTTATTCTGGGAATACTGAAAACTCCTCTATCAAAAATGAAGCCTATTTTGCTGCTGCAAGTCTTGCTGCCTCACCTGTCTTGACCTCAAATGCTGTTCAACTAATTGGACACCAAAGCTCTTTTAGAGCATGTATCAGAAAGCAAATTTTAGTAAGCTGAAGCTAGTTTGTCCCATTATTTGTCTCAAAATATTTTCTGTTCTGCTTTCATGTGTAGACAAATAAAAAAATGAAGGGAATGGCACTTGGGGTTCTAATTAATCTTGTATAATTGAAAATACTTGTTTTATAGAAATACTATCTAGGCATAAACAATCCTAGCTACCAATTTTTGCAATGGTTGTCAAGCATTTTTTGACCATAAATATAGATGACAAACATTTTGTAATGTGGCTATTGCTACCATAGTTACAGAACTATTTTCCTATTCAGTGTTCAGGTGGTTTAGAAAAAAATATAATTATGTTTGCTAGAAATGTGCTAGAGGTTACACTCTCATGCATAATCAGCCCTGCAGCCTCCTGTGAACATATCAGATGACACAGCCTGGCTTCCCCAGCAAGGTGGGAACAAGCTGTTCAAATATAGTTCCACAACTTCATCTGAACAGAAAAAATTTATCTATAAGTATATGAGCACCTGTCCAGAGTCAAAATCATCCTCTTCTTCGGGACAAATTAGCTTGGAGAGGGCTTGGACAGGAATCATCTCCATAGTTTCAGGTTCCATAGTTTTCATTTTCAAATTTTCAGGTTCCATAGTTTTCATTTCCAAATATTCAAGTTCCATAGTTTTCATCTCCAAATTGTCAGCTTCCATAGCTCTCATCTCCAAATTTTCAGGTTCTATAGTTTTCATCTCCAAATTTTCAGCTTCTATAGCTCTCATCTCCAAATTTTCAGCTTCCATAGCTTTCATCTCTATATTTTCAGCTTCCATAGCCTTCATCTCCAAATTTTCAGCTTCCATAGCCTTCATCTCCATATTTTCAGCTTCCATAGCCTTCATCTCCAAATTTTCATCTTCCATAGCTCTCATCTCCAAATTTTCAGGTTCTATAGTTTTCATCTCCAAATTTTCAGCTTCCATAGCTCTCATCTCCAAATTTTCAGCTTCCATAGCCTTCATCTCCATATTTTCAGCTTCCATAGCTCTCATCTCCAAATTTTCAGCTTCCATAGCTCTCATCTCCAAATTTTCAGCTTCCATAGCTCTCATCTCCAAATTTTCAGCTTCCATAGCTTTCATCTCCAAATTTTCAGCTTCCATAGCTCTCATCTCCAACTTTTCAGCTTCTGTTTCCTCAGCCGCCATATTCTGAAGAAAAAGATCAGAAAGAGATAATTTACTTTTCTGTCTTATTTAAGGCATGAAGTTTTTTTATTGTCCTACTTTCTTTCTTCAATGGGTAGGTCACTTCACAGTCTCTTATTCTTCATTGAAAATATTCACAAACTCCTTAAGATACACGTATTTTGCTAACACACAAACCTGGGAAGCAGGTAAACTCAAGCATTCAATATACTAAAACTCCACAGTCAATCTAACAAGCACTTATTGAGCATGTAGTACAGTGATTCTCAGGTTTCAGTTAAAGGATCACTTGGGGTCTTGGTTATAAGTGCAGATTCTTAAGCCCTATCTCTAAACAAAGTATATTTCAGTGTCATTTAGATTAAGCACTATTATTTTGGAATGTACTTTTCATGTTTTTTTTTTTTCTCTCCATGTATGGTAGTTAGACTGTATATTCCATTTAGTGAACTGAAAAAGATCTTGGTTGATGGCTATGTCCCCATGATCTTTATTCATTTCATACTGTTGCCCCAGGCAGACTTGTACCTTCTGCTTTATTTCAATTTTTAATTAACCCTTGGTGATGCCTAGTATTATATTGCCAATTGTGAACAATCATGAGTTGGTTCATTGACTTTAGTGAACATTCATACCCAATGCATTGATTATTTTTTTCTGATTGTAACAGTGATACTGTTCTTATCTATTGTGAATATTTTTGGAAATGTATTAAAACATAAATAAGAAAGTTATAGCTACCAATAATCCTTCCATCTAGACATCAATCTTTTAAAATAATCTCTGAAGTTATATTAAAGTAGGAAATTCAGGATCTTTAAAAATCATGGAGGTATCATATGTTAAACAACCTGAAAGAAGTCTGGAATTGGGCCCATTTTGAGTGATTTCAGCATAAATATCATAGAAATGTTTACTACACTTGTGCTGATAGTTTTAAAATATTATTTTTATAAAACTAACTTACAAGAAACATTTATTTAGTGCTTTTATTAAATGACCCACAAACATTTTTATATTGTGCCTAGAACAGTAATACAAAGAGAATCCCAAATGTGTGCTAGTAGTCACCTGTCACAATCAATCTGCATATAAATGGTGTTTTACAAATATTCTGCTTTATTATTATATTTTACTGTTATTTCAACTTTCTTTTTTAAATAGAAAGCTGGTCTTAATACCTATTGGAGACGTCAAGGGTACAAAAAAATGTTAAATTGCCCTGAACCTCCAGCATAGGGGAGGCTTTTCATAGTGGTTAAGAGTAAGGGCTCTGAAGTCACATTGCTTAGATTTCGATCCATTATTTACTTCTTAGCTCTGTGACTTTGAGAACATTATTTAAGCTCTCTACATCTAATTTTCTTTACCTATAAAAGGGGAAAAATTATAGTGTCTATCTCTTAGGATTGTTATAAGGATTAAGTAACTTCATACACATAAAAGAGCTTGGAACAATGCCTAGGACATAGTAAGCACTCCACATATGTTAGCTATTATTGGCCCTTTAAAAGTTTAATTTTTCTGGACATGAATATCACTTCTAATAGTGGTGTGGAATAAGTTAATGATAAAACTCATTACATTGGAAACTCATTAAATTGGAACAGGTGAAATAAAGGGTAATAAAATAATCTTCTCTTACATGGTCTAGTAGTCTGCTATAAAAATGAATAATTTCCACATATTAAATTAAAGAGGCTCATGTTTATATTTAAAAAATTTTAGTTAATTATGTGTTAATTAAATATATACCTAACATTTAAATCAAAGTTTATTGAAATATTTTCTACCTCTGACAATGAAAGAAAAAGATGCATTCAGATATCATCAGATGCAATTATATAATTAGTATTTTGAGATTGTTCAAAGAATGACATTAAAAAAACAAATATAGCAGAAATTTTATCATATCAGCAATTACCTACTTTACAAAATGATTGTAATGCTCAAATTAGGTAGGCAAGCACGCTAAAATATGAAGAGCTATATAAAAATATTATTATTTGGCATATAGTTCCAGGACCTATGCCCCTGATCATTAACGAGGCTTGTATGACTTCAGTGGCAGACTGACAAGAGGAAAAATAAACTGAAGCCACTAAAGCTAATTAATAAGGAAGGTATTCCAAAGACCCAAATATAGTTTACGAAGTAGCAGTCAGAATTTCTGTTCATGTGGTCTTATTTGCTTGGCAGGGACACAATAGCAAGAGTTCTTGGGAATGAACACTGCATCAGGGCAGAAAGGTTGAATAGTCATGATTATAAAGAAGTCAATTTAGGGTGATGTAGGGCCCTGGCCCATAGGTAGAGCTATCGAAGTAGGGTCCAGTTCTTGAGGATTATGGATTAGTTGGCATCCAGATAAAGATTCAGAAAAGGGCAAGGCTCAAAGATCCAGCTGGAAAAGAGGAAACAAGCAGCTTTCTCATGTCACCTGGTTACTTACAGTGGAGATTATGAAGGAAGGCTATGGTTCAATGTGTACACTAGATACTGGATTTAAAGAAAGCAGATCAATTCTAAATCCCTAACAGTTGGAAAGGAGCTCTGGCCTTTGTTTTCACTAGGTGAGAAGCAGGGTAGTATGAACAGTGAGAAGCTATATCTATAGACTGAACATCTTCAATAACTAGAGCTAGCACACATTCAGCAGTTGATGAACACTGAGTGAGGTATGATTAAATTTCAAAAAAGTGACCTTATTAGACTATGCACAGATGTAAAATATGTAATCAATGCTGAAATTATTGTAGAACTTTTCTTTGTTTTTAAAATTGCCTTTTTTATGTATCATCAAGAAAACGGGTATCATTCAGTTTGACTACACATCAGATTTGTCTCCAAGTGATTTCTAGATATATACATATATAGATATCATATCTATTTTCAAAAGATTTTCTTTCTTGAGGACATTCAAAAGAATGTGCTACAAGCCTCTGGTGATTCTAAGAGTAGTTTCAAAAGTTATTTGAGCAATAGCAACATCATTCAAATTCAGTAGATTAACCTCCCAAAGTGACTGCTTTGAAGGGGATGCCATTCCGAGGGATTTGTTAAACAAACAAAAAGTTAAATTACTATTGTAAGGGATAAATTAATTGGAAAATTCAGAGTTAAGTTAGAACTTGTTTGTTTGATCTCAGTTTTTTAGAAACATAATCCCTTATAAATTCCTGAAGTTGAAAGTATTTTAATACATCTGTGTAAAATATTGATTATGCAGAATTATTTCTCCTTTTACCTCATGCTACAAACTAGAAAGCTCAGTAAAAGTGCATCCAGTGTAAACAAATTTTTTTGATGTATTGAAAGAAAAAAATGATTATGTGAATGAGGAAAAATTTTCTAAATTCAGTGGAAACTCTAACAAAATACTAATTTCTTAAGCTTATTAGAATTTACCTAACTCTAACAAAATACTAACTAATAGAATTCTAACAAAATACTAATTTCTTAAGCTTTATTAGAATATTTATTCAAGTTCATTTGACACAAATCATTGCAAAAATCTAAATCAGGCCGGCGCTGTGGCTCACTTGGTTAATCTTCCGCCTGCGGCGCTGGCATCCCATATTGGTGCCGGGTTCTAGTCCTGGTTGCTCCTCTTCCAGTCCAGCTCTCTGCTGTGGCCCGGGAGGATAGTGGAGGATGGCCTAAGTGCTTGGGCCCCTGCACCCATATGGGAGACCAGGAAGAAGCACCTGGCTCCTGGCTTCAGATCAGCCCAGCGCCGGCCGTTGCGGCCATTTGGGGAGTGAACCAACGGAAGGAAGACCTTTCTCTCTGTCTCTCTCTCTCTCACTGTCTAACTCTACCTGTCAAATAAGTAAAAAAAAAAAAAAACTCAATCAAGATGCCTTTTTATCAGCTATCAAGTGTTAATTTTTATAGGGCTATGCTTTATTTGTAAATTTGATATACATTTAAATTCATCTTGAGCTTGGCAATTAAAGTCCTTCAGTCTGTATCATCAACCAATTTTTCTGCCTTTCCCTACTATTATTATCCTACATGTGTTCTGCATTCTGTTAAAAACTGAACTCTAAGTATAGCCTACGATGTCCTGCTTCTGTACCTTGGAGTGTGTTCTTCCTTTTGCATAGACTACTTAAGTAATATAGTATGGTGATTTAAAAAAAATTTTTTTGGAGCCACATTGCCTATGTCTGAATCTGTTACTGTCACTCGAATGAACCAAGAATAAATTTTAAATAAGGGGAATTTAAGTAAGAATTTTAGTAAAAGTAAAATATATGGGTAAGTCTTTTGTTTGAGATTTGTTTTTTTAGAAAGTAAAATTTCTGGTCCCTTTGTTTTTCTTTCCCTCACTTTCTTTTGCTAGGCCAATGCCAATGGCAGCATTTCCCAGACAGAGCCTTTGACTTTCCCCCATCAATACGAACCTTTAGGATCTTTACAGATAGAGGTGTGATTAAAGAATCTATCTTAGTACTAGCCATAATGAGCTAAAGCAACAGATGATCCAGAACCAGCTCATTACCAAAACACTGGAGCCAGTCAGGGACTAAAAAACTTCAACCAGGATGGCTCCAGGTCTATTGCACTGAAGCAATGTCAGGAATCTTGGGATCAAGGCACACTCCAGTTGTGAAGCTGCGGTCATGCTTTCAAATTTATTTTCCTCTATCTACAATATCAACATGGATTGCTCTTTGACATTAACCAATTGGAGAAAAGTCTAGGACAAATTAGTGAAAACTCTGAATTATCGACTATTCAAAAAGAAATGGGGCTTGCTTTGTGGCAGAGCAGGTTAAGCCACTGACTGTGACATTGGCATCCCATATCAGAAGCATTGGTTTGAGTCCTAGCTGCTCTGCTTCAGATCCAGCTCCCTGTTAACATACCAGGGAAAACAGTGGAAGATGATTCAGGTGCTTGGGCCCCTGCCATCCAGGTGAGAGACATCCAGCTATGGCCTAGCCTTGACCATTGCAGCTGTTTGGGGATGAATCAGAACATGGAAGATTCTCCCTCCCACCCTCCCTCCCACTTTGCCTTTAAAATAAATAAAACAAATATAATAAATAAAAATGGTATTTTATTAATTCAACTGCATATGTATATATGTATATGTATTTGTATGTATATGGTGCCTCATTTAGCAATCCCTGCATTGACATTTTTCCAGGAATACAAAAGTAAACATTATCTCTGTCTGAATTAAATTATGATATACTGGCTAATTTTTTTTAATATTTATTTATTTATCTGAAAGGTGGAGTTACAGAGAGAGAGAGAGAGAGAGGTAGAGACAGAGAGAGATCTTCCATCTGCTGGTTCACTCCCCAGATGGCCACAAAGGCTGGGGTTGGGCCAGGCCAAAGCCAGGAGCCAGGAGCTCCATCTGGGTCTCCCACATGGATGCAGGGGCCTAAGCAATTGGGCCATCTTATGCTGCTTTCCCAGGCATATTAGTAAGGAGTTGGATTGGAAGTGGAGCAGCTGGGATTTGAACTGGCTCCCATATGGGATGCCGGCACTGCAGGCAGTGGCCTAACCTGCTACACCACAGTGCCGGCCCCAAATGGTTTTATTTTTTACATTTTTAAAAAAGGATTTATTCATTTATTTGAAAGTCAGAGTTACACACAGAGAGAAGAGGAGAGGCAGAGAGAGAGAGAGAGAGCGAGAGATCTTCTATCCGATGGTCTACTCCCCAGTTGGCAGCAATGGCTGGAGCTGCGCCAATCCCAAGCCGGGAGCTAGGAGCTTCTTCTGGGTTTCCCACATGGGTGAAGGGGCCAAAGGACTTGGGCCATCTTTTACTGCTTTCCCAGACCATAACAGAGAGCTGGATCGGAAATGGAGCAGCCGGGACTAGAACTGGCCTCCATATGAGATGCTGGCGATTCAGGGCCAGGGCATTAACCTGCTGCACCACAGCACTGGCCCCTATTTTTTACATTTTTTTTTACAGGCAGAGTGGACAGTGAGAGAGAGAGAGAGAGAGAGAGAGAGAGAAAGGTCTTCCTTTTGCCATTGGTTCACCCTCCAATGGCCGCCATGGCCGGCGCGCTGTAGCCGGCGCACCGCGCCTATCCGAAGCCAGGAGCCAGGAGCCAGGAGCCAGGAGCCAGGTGCTTATCCTGGTCTCCAATGCGGGTGCAGGGCCCAAGCACTGGGCCATCCTCCACTGCACTCCCGAGCCACAGCAGAGAGCTGGCCTGGAAGAGGGGCAACCGGGACAGAATCCGGCGCCCCGACTGGGACTAGAACCTAGTGTGCCGTTGCTGCTAGGCGGAGGATTAGCCTAGTGAGCCGCGGCGCTGACTCTCCTATTTTTTACATTTTTGAAAAAGGTTTTCTTCAGAGAAAGGTCTTCCATATGCTGGTTCACTCCCCAAATGGCCGCAATGGTTGGAGCTGGGCTTATCTGAAACCAGGAGCCAGGAGCTTCTCCCAGGTCTCCTACGTGGGTGCAGGGGTCCAATCACTGGGGCCATCTTCTACTGCTTTCCCAGGCCATAGCAGAGAGCTGGTTTGGAAGAGGAGCAGCAGGGACATGAACTGGCACCCATATGGGATGCTGTAGCTGGGTGGAGGATTAGCCTGCTAAGCTACAGCATTGGCCCCTGTTTTTTTTTTTTTTTTTACATTTTTGATAGCTATAGCAATTAATGATTCTGTATTAAAAATCATTCATTTTCAGTGTCTTTACAACACCAAGTGTAGATTATTTTCATTCTGCCATCAAATATGACAACTCACAAATAAATATAGACTTAGAATTTTCATTATAAACTTAAATATATTTAATGGAAGATATTTTTGAAAGTACTTGAGATTTTTCATGAAACAAAATGTCAAGATATGAGCTTGTTCCAATTTACTATTTCCTCTGCTTGTTATTTTAGCCATTTACTCCTAAGGAATCCATCCCAATCCTTTCTGAAAAGTGAGCTTTTCTATGGATAAGCAAATCCTTAGTTTCTCTATAACTTGAATTATCAAAAGCTGTATAGTACAGCATTTCAGACAAACAATACAATTGTGAATCATTTTGTCCTTGTTCCTCTCAGACTCATATTTCATCTCTATCTGAAAAGGAGTTGAGATGCTGAGTTTTCTTTCAGTACTTTGAAATTTTCTCCTCTATATGTTTCTTTTCTTCATTTTTTCAGGAAATAGTCTCTTATGGATCCTTACCACAACAATTCTTAATAAAACAGAAATGATTCCTATTTCTCTGGTCAAACGTAATGAAACTCTGATCAGATGGTCAAACGACACATAACAAGAGGATACTTTAAACTGTTCTTGCAAAATGAATTTAAATGATAAATTTGGGGCCGGCGCTGTGGCACAGTAGGTTAATCCTCCGCCTGTGGTGTTCGCATCTCATATGGGTGCTGGTTCTAGTTCTGGCTGCTCCACTTCCAGTCCAGCTCTCTGCTATGGCCTGGGAAAGCAGTAGAAGGTGGCCCAAGTCCATGGGCCCCTACACCTGTGTGGAAGACCCGGAAGAAGCTCCTGGCTCCTGGCTTCGGATCGGCATAGCTCCGGCTGTTGTGGCCATCTGAAGAGTGAACCAACGGAAGGAAAAACCGTTCTCTCTGTCTCTTCCTCTCACTGTTTGTAACTCTACCTCTCAAATAAAATAAATAAAATCTTTTTAAAAATGATAAATTTATTTTGGTGAAAAAAAGTTGAAATCCCTGGACAGCGCTGTGGTGTATAGGTTAAACATTCACCTGTGGCGCTGGCATCCCACATGGACACAGGTTTGAGTACCAGCTGCTCCAGTTCCTATCCAGCTCCCTGCTATGGCCTAAGAAAGTAGTAAAGGATGGCCCAAGTCCTTGGGCCCCTGTACCCGCGTGGGAGACCCGGAAGAAGCTCCTGACTCCCAGCTTTGGATTGCCCCCGCTCTGGCCATTTTGACTATTTGGGGAGTGAACCAGCAGGTACTTGGGTCACTGCACCCATGTGGGACACCTGGAAGAAGTTCCTGGCTCCTGGCTTCAGACTGGCCCAGTTCCTGCCGTTGTGACCATTTGAAGAATGAACGAGCAAATGGAAGCTGGATAGTAAGTAGAACATCTGGGACTTGAACCAACATCCATTTGGGATGTCGGCGCTGCAGGTGGCGGCTTTACCCGCTATGCCACAGCACCGGCCCAGAACATAGAATATTTTTAAGTATCCTCATATTTATCCTCGCAATCAACCTTTGGTGAGTAGAAACTTTTTTTTTTTAAATAAATTGTCTTATTTTAAAACAATTTATGGTTTAACACCTAATACTTGTACATTTTTATGTTCTATAGTACAATATTTCAATACACACACACAGCATAAACTGGTCAAATCAGACAGCTAGCATATCAATTTCCTTATCTTTTCTGTTCAAAACCTCCCAGGTCCTCTTTAGAACACTGTTGTGAATTATGGTCATCGCACTTGGCTGTTCAATGCAAAAACTTGTTAGGTCTGCGTTTTAGTACTCATTATACAACCTCCTTCTATCTCTTCTTGCCCTCCTCTGGCTGGTAGGTTTGGCAGGTCCGAGTAGTCTTTGTACACTATGCTCTGGCCTACTATGCGCAGCTCTGCTTCCCATCCCCCAGCAGAAATAATGAAGTCCGTTAGAACCTTCACGCCACAGCGGGACATTTTTTGCACATGGGACATTTTTCATAAGGGGAGGGCAACAGTCCTTTTTTTTTTCCGTCTGAACAGTGCTACTACACCCCACCCCACCCCAAAATATATCCTAACCAAGGTATGCTGATCCAGGATACAACTACATGGTGAGACAGGAGGGATAGTGACTGCTCCAACTTGGAACACCCAAATCTACTAAAAGGAACCATAGTTTACAGTCGTATCCAACCCTTGTACACCGCAACTGCCCCATTTTCCTCTCACTTCTCGAAGAGACCGGATTTTGTTAAATAAGCGGCGTCCAGCTTCTAGTGTTTAAGGCAGAGGGATTTTAGAAAAAACGGTCTCTTCTATCTTTGTGTTAACTTGTGGCTCTCAGAGTTGTATCTAGAGTTTTCCCAGGTTCTCTACTAGCCACGGCATCTGAGGACCCTGTTTTTCCCCTCCTGTGGTTCGAGCCTCCTCACCTCCGTCAGTTTTTCAGTCGCCGGCGAGGCTCCGAAAATAGACTGAGGAGAACCAGAAGAGCGCCGCGTCTCTCTGTTGCCTGGGCAACAACTTTTTTCTCCCGGCCCACCCCACCCACCTCCTGGGTTCCCGCTTGACTTTGCTAGCCAATCACAGAAGAGTCTCTTTTGCGGCAACAGCAGATTCCACCAATCAGAGCGCGTCCCGGTCGGGGTCAGTGTCCGCCCTTTCTAGTGAACTAGGTCGACCCCATTTCATCCTCTGTGGAGGTTCGCTTCTTTCCGACGGTGTCCTGTTTTCTGAAGAGACCGGTTCTTTCCGGCTGGAGGCCCGACCCTCTGGCAGTTAGGCGGTCTCAGAGGCCTGCCGCTTTACTTTGGGCCGGGACAGAAAGCGGCGGCGGCTGCCACCAAGGTAACTTTGCAGGGGTTTCGCTTGCCCTGGTCGTCTGAGGGCTTCCCTCTCCATTACGCTTTTTCCACTCGTGAATTCCATATCTGAGGAGTCTATCTCTAGCGGATCTGGAGCGCTGGGGGCTGAAGAGTAGAGGCGGTGGGCCAGGGTTTTAGGATTTGCTACCGAGCTGTAGGGGCTCCCCACGCCCCCTTTTCCCCTTCACCACCCTGCCTCACCCGTAACACGGACACGAGCTGTCCTTCCATCTTGGCTCAGCCTGTGTGCCTGTGTATGTGGGGGTGGGGGATGCATCACGCTTTTGATTCTTTGCTGTGTGCAAGCCTTCCCGCTGGAGCCCCTCCCCCGCCGTGGGGCAGCCTCGCGAGGCCCGTGTGGGACGTGGGTTGGAGCTCTGCGTGACTCCCACCTCTGGTGAAATCGCGGGGCCAGATGTCCTGCCTTTCCTGCCTCGGAGTGCAGAAAGGCAGGCACACCGAATCGCTCCTCACAGACTGCGGGGCCGGGCGTCAGCACCTAGGGCTTGAATTGTGACTCTACTTTACAGTGAGTTACATGGTTTGGTTTTAAACCCTTTTTTGAAAAAAAGATTTATTTATTTACTTGGAAGGCCGAGTTACAGACAGAGAGAGATGTTCCATCAGTTGGTTCACTCCCCCAGAGTGAAGCCAGGAGCTTCTTCATCCGGGTCTCCCAAGTACTTGCGCCCATTCTCTGCTGCCTTCCCAGGCACATTAGCAGGGAGCTGGGTCAGGAGTGGGACACCCGGAAGTCTAACTGGTGCCCATATGGGATGCTGGCCTCTCAGACAGAATCATAACCCCCAATGCTGCAGCGCTGGCCCCTATGGTTTTTACATAAAAGGGGATGGAGGGATGGCGTAATAAATATTTGGAATATTGAAACTGGTTATACACACTGATTTGGATTATTTGTTATCAATCGTTGGGCGGCACATTACTGTGTGAGTGTTGTAAGAAGAGATAGGATGGCCTCAATGACGAATATCTTTCAGGTAGCCAGGGACTGGAATTAGATTATAAATGAGCTAAACTGCTTCCCTTTTTTTCTGCTACTATGCTTTTCTTAACTTTCACTCCATCTGGCAAAGGACATGGTGAAGTTTCAGTAGTTTGTCCAGTCTGTGTGATATCCGTGGGGAACAAGAAACTGGGGATAGAATATTTAAGTTACTGGCTTTTTGGGTAAATTATCTTGACCATAATTCTCCTTATTACTTTGGATAATTAGAGTTTAGATGGCTTGAATTTTGATTCTCTAGGTAATCGTGAAAAGTGGAATTAAAAAATAAGGTGCAAAAAAATTGAAATCATGCACAGGAGGGGTATTCAAAATGTTCATGGATAATTCATATTATGAAAAAACATGCATGGATTTAAAAATTTGTTTGCCTCCAAATACACTTTTTTTTTTAATGAGAGAGAGGGGAGTTAGAGAAATACTGAACCGTCTGCTTCTTCACTTTCCAAATGCCTGTAATGGCCAGAATGTGGCCTAACTGCAGATGGGAGCTGGGAACTCAATCCAGGTCTCTCACCTAAGGTGGCAGGAACCCAACTACTTGAGTCATCACCTGCTACCTCCCAGGGTTCACACTGTCAGGAAGTTGGGATTGGGACTTGGAGCCTGGACTCAGACCCAAGTACTCCATTATAGAACACTGATGCCTTAACCAGAATCTTAACTGCTAGGCCAGATGCCCACCATACATTTATATTTTCATTCCATTTCCATGAACTTTTTGAAGATCCCCTATATATGTTATGTTGTTGCCTTGCTAAGCTCTTTTGTTTTTTATTCTGCCTTATTGTGTTATTCTAGATCTGCAATGTCCAGCCAGTGTTTTTCAGACCTTTTAGCTGTTAGTTATGCTAAGAAATAAGTTTTAGATTGTGACCCAGTACACATATACACAATATACACATATAACTGACAAATGTTTTGCAGAAATAGTACTTACTGCATTTAATGTGCTCTGTTACTTTTCATTATGTATTTTTAAAATGTAGACTACACCCCAATAATAAATTAGCATTTGCAGTTTGCAAGACAGTGACCTTAGAACTTTGATTTTCAAATTTGTGTGTATACTTAGAGAATTTATTAAAAATGTGATTGCATTGGCTTACTCCAGAAATTGTCCCTGTGGGTATGTGGTGGACTTGGGAAGGTATGTGATATAGCATATATAAAATACTAGGTACAGTTCAAGATGCACAGGTGTTCAGTAAATCTTAGTTTTCTTCTTGTGGAACAAATATATCTTTAGGGATATATTCACATTTTCAAGGTTTGACCTGCCCTTGGCAAGGTGGTCTAATGCTAAACACTTTTTAGGGTTAAGGAAATAGTGAGGTAGACATGGGTACAGGATCTGAGATGAGTCTTTAAGCACTTGGTTTCTTTTTTTTTTTTTAACGATTTATTTCATTTATTTGACAGAGTTACAGAGAGAGGTAGACAGAGAGAGAGGGAGAGAGATCTTCCATCCACTAGTTCACTCCCCAAATGGCCCATAACAGCTGGAGTTGAGCCAATCCAAAGCCAGGAGCCAGGAGCCTCCTCCAGGTCTCCCACGTGGGTGCAGGGCCCAAGGATTTGGGCCATTTCTACTGCTTTCCCAAGCCGTAGCAGAGAGCTGGACTGGAAGTGGAGCAGCCAGGACTCGAACCTGTGCCCATATGGGATGCTAGTACTTCAGCCTGGGCCTTTAACCCACTGTACCACAGTGCCGGCTCCTAAGCACTTGGTTTCATGGAGGTTTTTTTTTTAAATATAAAAACTTGGAGGTTGAGGAGAGTAAGGATTTGAAAGATTCAGTAATTTTTCAGAGTCATACTGTCTAAGTAGATCTCAGAATAGAACTCATTTAAGTCTAATATTTTTGTTTATTCTTCCTTGACAGCAGGTGGAATCTAGAGGCAGAAATTGAAACAGGAAAAGAACTTCCCTGACTTGCCTATCCCAACTGAATTTGACTTTTTGGAATTTGAGTTTGGTTTTAAAGTAATAAACTTTTAGAGACCTAAAAGATAAAAAAAAAAACCTAAATGTTTCTGTGCATTTATAGCTATAAAAAGGGTATAGTTTAGCTAATTCTTTTATAATGTATAGAGTAGCTGCTTTAAATACTGGTTAATTTATTTAAACCAGCATTGAAAGGAATTAAAGATGACAAATTTCACTCAATTCCACTACCATAATAGTTCTGTTCTCCTTCTGTATTTGTCTATATGTATTCATACCCTTACATGAATGTGATCTGTATATATTTTTGTTGTTTTTATTTGATATCATTATTCTCTACCTCTCTCTGTAACTCTGTCTTTCAAATAAATGAATTAAATATTAAAAAAATAAAAACATATGAATTGGGCCAGCCCATAAATAAATAAATCTTTAAAAAATATATATGAATCATGGAGTCTGGTGTTGTGGTATAGCAGGTAAAGCCGCCACCTGTGACACCAACATCCCACATGGGTGGTAGTTCGTGTTCCAACTGTTCCACTTCCAATCCAGCTCCCTGCTAATGTCCTGGGAAAGGTAATGGAAGATGACCCACATGTTTGGGCCTCTGCCACCCATGTGGGAGACCCAGATGGAGCTTCTGGCTCCTGGCTTTGTTCTGGCTCAGTCCTTGCTGTTGCTGCCACTTGGGGAGTGAACCAGCAAATAGAAGACCTCTATCTCTCTCTTGTCTTTCTCTCTCTTTCTTTGTAACTCTGATTTTCAAATAAATAAATCATATATATTTTCAAATAATAAATCATATATATATACATGAATCATGGCAGGTTGAAGCAGATTGAAGTACTTTAGTGACACACTGACTAGCTTTCTTTATAAAGATCTTTTTCAAAGGGTATATGAGTGGGAATTAATTTGTAATTAAAAAATTTTTATAAAGGAGCCAATTAAGTTGACTTGAATAATAAAAGCTGTAATTGACCTGTATCAGTACATCTCACTCTTTGGCATATACATAGTCTTATTTTCTGTCATTTTAAAACACTCAGTAGTCCTTTTTAAAATTATGAAATATTTCAAACAGAAAAGTACAGACTATTATATACAATATCCCAGAACCCACCACATATTTAATAATTGTTAAAACTTTGGCACATTTTCTTAGATACTGCTTTAAAAGAACTGAAGCATAGTTACTTCTTTGTACCCCTCCACAGTTTCTTTTCCTTTTCATCCCTGAAGTATTTGCTTTTCCAAATTTATACATACACACACACACACACACACACACACTCCCATCTGTGTCTGCAATTACACTGAAATGTGGCAATAACTTTTACATCAATGATATAGTGTACTTAACTCTTCTGCAGATTGATTTAGTCAACAGTGCCTTTGAGATTTTTAAATGTAAGGTTTTATTGTTGCGTAGTATTCTGTTGTGTGACTATAGCACTTTTAAAAATCTCCATTCTCCTATTGTTGCTGTACATTTGGGATATTTCAAGTATTTAGATATTCAGGTAAATCATACAAATATTGTATGATTCCATTTAATTGGATTACCTAGAATAAGGAAATTCATGGAGACTGTATAAGTTAGGGGTTACCCAGAATGGGGATTTAGTAGTCAATGATTACACCATAAAGAAATATTATGTTTGAGGAGATTTACCCCGATTGGAATTACATAATGTATACATGTATTGAAACATCACATAGTAGTACCCCATAAAAATTTTATATGTCTGGTTAAAAAAGTTTTAAATAAAAATAGTTTTTTTAAAAAGAAAATAGTAGTGGGTTTTCTTTTGGGATAATTGAAAAGCTTTGTATATAGGTAGTGGTGATGTTTGAGCAACATTGTGAATGTGCTTAGTGCCAATGAAGTGTAAACTTACAAGTGGCTAAAATGGTTTTATGTCATGTATATTTTATAAGAAAATACAACCAAGAATTATGCTTGTTTTTCAAAAGTGTATGCTTGATTGCCTTATTCTTTGTGGAGT